CAGTTTCTTGTAAAGCAAGAACCTAGAGAATAGATGAGCTGTACATAAAGAACATTAGCATACTGAATGAGACCATGAAAAATAAGCAGTAGCGTATTGAGGTGGTAAGAGAAGAGCTTTCCCTTGGGATGAATGTTTGCCATGGTTTTATTTAAAATAATTACTAATGATCTCACAAAAGAGGCAAAAATCTCATTGATTACTCAGATCATACTAGCTTGAGAGATGTTACAGACATAAAAACAAGGCACCTGTAGGAGTTAGAAAAAGCAAAAATATGAAATCCATATTTGTAATATTGGGGTAGGGTAGGATATAAATAAATAAATAGAATATGCAAAGTAATGCACCATGGATAAAGTGATCAAACAAATTCATTGCAGATTTGACACTAGAAAAGCTGAAGATATTAGACAGTGAATTGCCTATACAAATGTGATATGCATGAAAAAAAGCCTTCATTTGAGTTTGGCTTGCACATGCATATATATATCATGTGAAGGACCAGTTTGCAATAGTTCTTGTTTACAGCACTAGTGATAACTAGAATACTATGTGCAGTTCTGGATCAGTTCAACATCAGAAAGAGTGAACAAAAACCAAAAATATTATTAGGGAAATAGGCAGGTATTGACTTACGTGATGACTACAAGTATTTGAAGGCTATAAATTACAAGTGAGAACTGGAATTGATTAGATCCAATATGGTTTCATATGACCTACCAGGAAAACTTACCTTGTCAGGTAAGTATTATTTCTTGCTCTGCCTTCAACTGGAGGATCAGTATGGGAAGGGAACAGGCAACGGGAATCATTTTAAACCCAAACCCTATCTATTAGCATTATCATCCCAGGATAACATTTTTCATAGTCAGGAGTGACCTCTTGTTGAGTAAAAGGACCTGAAAAATAGTGCAAGACCTTAGGCCTTTCACTATACAGAAGATTTAGATTTACTATAAACTTTTCCCACCTAAAAATGCCACGAGGCCTGCAGACGGAAGTGGAGGCAGAGAATGGAGCTCAGATGTTGCCTAAACACTCAAACGTTTCACACAGAATCACAGAATCATAGAAAGTTAGGGTTGGAAGGGACCTCAGGAGGTAATCTGGTCCAATCCCCTGCTCAAAGCAGGTCCATCCTCAACTACATAATCCCAGTCAAAGTTTTGTCTAGCCGGGTTTTGAAAACCTCCAAGGATGGAGCTTTCACAACCTCTCTGGGTAACCTGTTCCAGTGGTTTACTACGCTCCCAGTGAGAAAATGCTTCTTAATATCTAACCTAAATTTCCCTTGCTGCAACTTGAGACCATTGCTCCCTGTTTTGTTATCTGCCAGCACTGAGAATAGTCTAACTCTATCCTCTTTTGAACCCCTTCAGGTAGCTGAAGGCTGCTATTAAATCCCACCTTGGTCTTCTCTTCTCTAGACTAAATAAGCCCAATTCCCTCAGTCTTTCCTCATAAGTTATGTTCCCCAGCCCCCTCATCATTTTTGTTGCCCTCTGCTGGACTCTCCAAATTGCCTACATCCTTTCTGTAATGGAGAGGCCCAAAACTGAACACAGTACTCCAGATGCACAGTAGCCTCACTAATGCTGAAGAAGGGAATGATCACGTCCCTTGACTGACTAGTGAGACACCGACCAGTGCAGTCCAGTATGCTGTTAGCCTTCTTGGCAACAAGGGTACACTGCTGGCTTATATTCAGCTTATTATCCACTGTAACCCCTAGGTCCTTTTCTGCAGAGCTGCTGCCCAGCCAGTCAGCCCCCAGCCTGTACTGGTGCATGGGATTGTTCCGTCCTATGTGCAGGATTTTGTACTTGTCTTTGTTGAACCTCATGAGGTTCCTTTTGGTTCAATCCTCCAATTTGTCTAAGTCACTCTGAATTCTAGTCCTAACCTCCAGCATAGTTTCATAGTTGGTAGGGTCAGAAGGGACCTGAGCAGATCATCAAGTCCGACCCCCTGCCATGGGCAGGAAGAATGTTGGGGTCAAATGACCCTGGCTAGGTGATTATCTAGCCTCCTTTTGAAGACCCTCAGGGTAGGAGTGAGCACCACTTCCTTGGAAGTTGGTTCCAGCTCTTAGCCACCCTGACTGTGAAGTAGTGCTGCCTGATATCTAGCCTGAATCTACTCTTGGTCAACTTATGGCCATTATTCCTCATTACTCCTGGTACTGCTTGGGGGAACAGGGACTCTCCCATAGCCTGCTGGTCCCCCTTGGCCAGTTTGTAGACGGTCACCAGATCCCCTCTCAACCTTCTCTTGTGGAGGCTGAACAGGTTCAGGTCCTGTAGCCTCCGCTCGTAGGGCCTGCCTTGCTGCCCCAGATCATGCGGGTGGCGCTCCTCTGGACCCTCTCAATGCTGTTCATATCCTTCCTGAAGTGTGGTTCCCAGAACTGGACACAGTAGTCCAACTGCAGCCTGACTAGTGTCGCATAGAGGGAGAGGATCACCTCCTTGGACCTGCTCATGATGCATCTGTGGATGCATGACAAGGTGCGGTTAGCCTTCCTGACTGTGTCCCCACATTGGCGGCCAATTGATGTTTTGGCATCAATAATGACTGCAAGATCTTTTTCTACCTCTGTGCTGATAAGAAGGGAGTTCCCCAGCCTGTAGGCATGCTGCTGGTTCATCCTCCCCAGGTGCAGTACCCTGCACTTGTCAGTATTGAATCCCATCCTGTTCTCATCCGCCCACCCCTGTAACCTGTCTAGATCTAGTTGCAGCTTGTCCCTCTCCTCCAGTATGCCCACTTGTCCCCACATCTTAGTGTCATCCACGACTTTGAACCAAGGTGCTTTTCACCCCCTCATCCAAGTTGTTGATGAAGATGTTGAACAGTGTGGGCCCAAGGACCGAGCCCTGGGGGACCCCACTGCCCACATCCCTCCAGGTTGAAAAATTAAATCAGAGTCCCCCTAGCATCCCAGCATGCTGTCTGGGCTGGGCAGGGCTCTCTGCTCTACAGCAGAGCTGGCCCTTCTCCTCTGCTCCATGGCTGGAGCTCTGGCAGAGACTGCAGGCATCTGCCTGGCTTCCCCCTGCTCCCCGCACCCCACCACTCCCTGCTAAGCAGGGATCCCCCATCCCCTCTGCCTTACACAGATACCGCTCAGCATTAGCTAGCAAAGCACATGCTGGCTAGATCCATGCTGTGGGAGACAGGACAAAGGGAGACAGGACAGGCTTAAGGCTCTTTAGAGCTAATCATCTGGTAGTTGGTACTGTCCCTCCTTCCTTGGAACAAGTTGTTTAAGAAGAGCTTGAACTAATGAGAGATCCTTTTGTTTTGGTAATGTGGTGATAAATGCTGTGTAAAACCCCTGCTGGCTCCCTCACTGATGAGCAAGGTAGGGGAACCCCTCCCTAATCAGAGCCTCTTGCTGATCTGGCCATTGCCCCCCCTCCTACCACCGCTCAGCTCAGCACTGAGGAGGGAAAGGCAGGGCTGCTCTAGCACCCCCTGGCTTCTAACCTGAGCCATTGCAGGCATGTGCTTGCATTTTCTCAGACCAGAAGGGATTCTGTGCAGTTACAAACTGATTCAGTCTAGGCAGGTTACACTAACCTGCAAAGTGTTAGTGTAACACTTTGGACACACATATAAAGCTGTGTCCATGGCCGAATCGCTGATTCTCTGAATCAGAATTGAATCTTCAGATTTGGCCGAATCAAATTGGGACAGCAATCCAAATCAGTGAATCGAATCACTATCTCCCGAATCAAGCCGAATCTGAATTGAATATTGCCCACTTTGTACACCCCTACTACACAGTATATGCACACATGCAGACATGCCCTGCTGGTAAGAAAATTCTTTAGAATATCTAACCTAAACTTCCGCTGCTGCAACTTGAGACCATTGTTCCTTGTTCTGCTCTACTTGAAGCAGACCATCTGTAGGATCCTGGCACAAAAGGCATTCTTTCAAGGGAAAAGTTGTGTGTGTTTACAGGCTATTGACTTGTTGGCCATTGTTAAACACAATGAGGATCTTATTTCAGGCATTGCCATAAACACAAATAAATAATGTCTCCATATACATATGAACAGAAATGGGCACACTTAAAAAAATGGTAAAAATTGCATACAAGCTTTAGCACAGATATTAATGAGTATCCTAAGTACACAGTATCCTGAATATACACTTAAAACTCACATAGATGCATTGTTTAAATACAAATAGCCATTTTCCTTTGCAATGACACCAGTTTTACCCACTGTAATTACTAATGGTAGCTTTTCAGAGTGCATTATATGGATTGGTTTTTTTTCCAGATGAGATATGAAAAATAAATATAAAGGATAATATGTGACTTGGGATGTTCAAAGTGTTAAAGCAATAAATACCTTCATCTCTGTTTCTGTGGAACTTTTAGGTAACAAATTTTAACTGGGAACTGTAAAAAGCAATGAAAATTTTTTTTAACTGTTGGTAAATATACTTGTAGACTGAAAACAAGGGAAGGAATGAGTAGTCAAAGTGTTGTACTAATACAATAAACAGAAGATACCACACCTTGGTCATGAAAATTTTTGTATCAAACCTTCTGCATCAAAATATATTTAGCATGTTTAAACATGAGAAAAAAGAGGATTGAAATATAAAAAGAAAGTTCACCACGAAAGAGAAGAAATTCTGCACCTGCATTTCAATGATCCTTCACAAAACATTAGTAAAACACACCAAAACATAAACACAGCAGCTCACATTGGTTCCTGAGAAGGAATGGAATTATTGTATTAGGTGTGCTCTAATAAGCATAAAAATAGAAGCTTCAGTCCAATCTGAAGAAAGATGATTGCTAAAAGAAGAAAATGTTTAATAAAAGTTCAGACAGATAATACCAATCTACTCTTTTCTCCTAGGATTGTTAACTAAGCAACTTCAACACTTTACTCATATGACTACATTATAATATATATATATATTCTACATTTTTAATGGCAAAGTATTGAAGAAAAAACAAATCTGGTTCCTACCAGTTTGGCTGAGTTGGGAAGTACTGCGGCTTTTTCGTGACAGACCCACAATTGCTACCATCTTTGCACCAATGCTGGAGCGTCTTTTTTTGCCACCAGTACCCACAGTGCCCACTGCTGTGTCAGACTGGCTGCCATCATTCTTCTCTAGTGTGTACATGTCCCCGCCGATGCTGGTGCTCTTAGTCATGTTCTTTCCTGAGGCGCCCATCTGTCTGCTTTGCATTTTGGATGTAAAGACACTGTCAGCCGATGGACGGATAAATAGCGCAGACAAAAGAAAAGGAGAAAAGGGAAGACAGAAAAGGACAGGTTTCAGATATAAAGTTTTGGGAAGTTGTAGGGTCAAAGCAGCTAATTCATACAGATGGGGTTTGGAAGTAAGGAGGAACAACTTTAATTGTCAAGCTCTTGTTAAGTTTTCCTTACCATGTAATGGACATGCCATAATTTTATTTTTAAATTATCTGAGACTTTCCTCCTGTTTAGTACATTTTTAATGGAATACAGTTTCCCCACTTCAGGTGACTTTATTTGTTTTCCCTCAGTGGAGACAGAAAAACCCAGTGAACAAACTAGATCTGAATGATCAAATGCTAAATACATTTCTGTATTATTTGTAAAAGCAAGGAAATCATTATGTATTTCTCATATACAGTTCTTGCTTGTTTTTTATTATTCCAATATTATTTTCCAAGTTTAAACCTTGGCTAATCAAAGTACATATATCAGTTCCTCTAAATTACCACTAAGTAGATTCTGAAAACTGGTTAGGTAGAAATTGCCTAAGTCTGGCAAGAGCGGCAAAGCAAACAGAGTACAGAAAGTAAAATTTATAATGTGACTTTTCTGAACTAGAGATTCAGTGCTGCAGAGTCCCTAAATAAGGAGATTTTTAAACTTTTTTATTTTGCTTGAGTAGGCTCTTTTATGCAATTAAATATTTGCAGTATACTGACATTTAGAGATGTTTTCTTATAAATACATGTGCTCAGCATCTCATGTATATCAGCACTTTTCAGGCCTCTTCATACTTCTGATCCCTTGGTGAGAGAATCTCGCAAGAACAAAAATCACTTCCAGCCTCCCTGTCCGTATCCTACACCATCCCGAGAGTAACTACGGTGCTTGATTACAATACAAGAGCAATCTAAGGACACTAGTAAAGAGACCACATGAAAATAAGCTTACTTTAGTACAGTGAGCACATATGATTTGTTTTTTTCCCTCATTCCCATTTTGTTTCTCCACTGAACTTCAGTTGGGCTTTACACTAAGTAATGCTATATTACTTTTGTTGCCTGCAGACCCACTATTCTATTGTCCTGTAAAGGACAATGCAATTTGGTTGTGTTTTCTATGCTTGTTGTCCTCTAATGGTCAGTAAAGAAACACCCAACACCAAATGTCCTAAAGTGGCCCCACAATTGAAGAAAGGAGTTTGATTTTGTTGGTGGGGGTTGGGAAGGATGAAGAATTGATTGGACTTAATTCTACTTTCTGATTTACTTGGTCAAAGAAATACTGTGGAGACCCTAAATGCCCCTAACCTGAAAGGCAGTAAATGCCAAGCCATTACTGCAGAAGCAGCTCAGTGAGAACACAAAATTCTCCATTGACCACAATTTGAGAGATCTATGTCACCGCCAATATACAGTTTGATGAAGGTGAGAGGGTCAATCTGAGAAACACAATACAGGAGTAGCAAGAAAGCTACAATTCATCTTTCAGACAACAGAAATACACAGAATGCTTTACAGCATGGCAGCGTGTGTAAACTCTGGGTTTGATGCTATACACTCCCCATGCTGACCTCAATGAGACCTCTTCTTGTGTAACAGTTGACCTTTTACTACTTCATTTTGTAAAATTCCACTTTGGGTACAACACTAGACAATGAAAATAAATGGCTTGAGCAAATGAAACAGTTATATTAGCGCAACTGGTATTACATCAGTGTAAGAAGTAGGGGATAGATTACGTAAATTTGTAAACCAAGGGAACTTTGGCCAACCTGATGGAGAGTTACCCTGAGAGTTAAATAGGTTTAGATTTTTACTATCTGTATTTATCCTGAACCATTTACTAAAGGCTATTGCCTGCTGCTTTGTTGTTTAGTGGGATGGTTTCTAGCCATGGCCCGATATATTTAATTTTTTGGCACTCCCCCTGTTGCTTCAGGAAGTCCAGCACTAGACTATCAAAATAAATGGCTTGTGGAAAATAAATGTACTATGTGGAAAGCCAGCTCTGCTGGCCTGTGAAAAGAAGAATTGTTGTCACAACTGTACTTCCTTCCTACTACCTTGGAGATGAATATAGGACTGTAGAAGTGTTCACCCCTACTGGGGCTAACTTTATGACAATTCATTACTTGTTAAGCTACTCAGAAGTAATCTGTTTTGTATCCATTTTGAAGAGTTCTAAAGAGTAGCATTTCTTTCAGCACTTGCAAACTTATTGTTTATTATTGTTTACAAGCTCATCTGTTATTATAAACTCATACAAACCTACAATTTCTACTCTTTGGGTGACAAAGTCTAGTCCCCCCTCCACAAAGATGGGAAAAACCAGTGAACAAACCAGACATGAGTGAACAAAACAATTGTTACATCAACACGTGACTGGAAATCTGCTGACATATTTTGGTATCTGCTTACAAATCAATCTGCAGTAGTGATCTAACAGGACATTGCTAGATACTATCTATAAATGCTAAAGGGCAAATATGTGGAAGGATACTGAATACATTTGATTGTGAAAAGTAAAAGCAATACCATACCTTCCATACCTACAAAAGTTTAGCAAGAATGGCAGGGGCCATTAATAGGCTTGTGTTAGGTAAACCCAATCTTGCAACATGCACAGCTTCTCCCTTCTAGGCAAACACTATCTATAGGGTAAGTTGTTTGCTTTGAGGCAGGAGGAGGAGAGGGAGCCTGAGGAAGAGATGAACAGGGAACAGGGAAGAGTGGACACAACTAAAGCTTAAGGTGAGCATGTTTGGCATAGGCCTTGTAGGAGAGAGTGAGTAAAAATGAAGGGGGGATGGGAGGGATCAAATTTGGCATGAATCTGCCACTGAAGAAATTTGGAATACTTTTTGCTATCCATTGACTGCTGCATAAGGAAAATAAAAAAGTAGTCTGCCTGGGACTAAAGGAAAAGATGAACAAAAGAAATGGCAGTGCCAGGAGTGAATTTGTTTGAGTAAATACCATTTAGTTAAGAGAGAAAAAAGTCTTTAGTCTGGAGAAGAACGAAGAGAAATTTGAGACTAATTTGTAAATACAAAAGGGTGGTTATAAAGAGAATAGAATATAGATAAAGAGGTAATGATAGGCTCTTCTTTGTGGCTGCAGGGGACAGGACAAGGAACACTCATCTTAAATTGCAACAAGAGAATTGTAGGTTGGATACTAGGAAAACTTTCTTCCTATAGAGAAAAATTGGAATAGATTACTTAGAGAGGTGGTTCCGATCCCTGGAGCAGGTTAGACGAACACTTCACTGGGGATGGTTTAGGTAGGGATGATATTACCTAAGTAGATGATTGGATTTAAAAAGATCCCTACTTTTCAACTCTTCTATTATTTTTAAGGCTTTTAAACAGCAAATATGCTTATTCACCTTTCTTTTGATCTTCAAAACAATAAAAGTTTCCAATAAAAAGAGAAATTTGAAAGCGTGTAAATTTCTGATTTACAAAAGTGTCTTAGACAAAAAAACAGACTTATATTAGGATCTTTGATAATTGCTTCTCCACATTACACAAGAGATGAATATTAAATAGGAAAGAAACATGTAAAAAATCAGGACCCAGTTATAGCCTACATTGGAAAATTTCATTGTTGGATTAAGAAACTATGTCCACTAACTTGCAGATTTTTTTACTCATGGTCTTAACTGTTGGTTTCAACTTTAACTTGCCTTTGGAGTGAACAGTTTTGGTGTCAAAGGCTGTTCCAGATACAGTGTTAGAGTGCGGAGTAATCTCAAAACATTGGAAGGAAATCTTACAGTTACTAGGGATGGAACTGGGTGGAGAGGGTAAAAATGAATCTTTTGTAAGGTCCCCCCATTGTATCACAGGGAAACACATGGGCAGTCTGGGTTAGCCAATCAGGGCTGTCCTATGCACTGCTGCCATCTGTCACCAGGCAAACTAAGCGAACCTGCAGAGCATGCTAAACCGTGTGCACAGAGGCCTGCTGGCTGTATAGTAAGCTCTGTATTCTACTCTTCAGGGCCTTAGCATTTAAATGTCTGTACATATAGCTTTTAAGTTTAAGCTTTTTTTAAAGTTATTCTACCCAAAGAATAAACCTGGGAATAAACCTGGGAAAATTCTCCCAGATTATTTGAATGTGTATACATAACCTATAACGTTAAGCTATTTAGGTCCCCTTATGTGCAAGCCCTTGATGTGCTTAAACTGCTGTCATGCAAACAAAATTACTATAATTTCAGTAGACAGAGCATTATTTCTCCTTACTAAAGTACAGTACAACCTCATTATAACAAACCCTCATGGGACTGAGAGAAAAGTTAATTAAAAGAGGATGTTCACTATAATAGGGTTAGTCAACTTGCTGCATTATAATAAAGAAAAATTGATTTCTACTGTTGGGATTGTTAAAAGTGAGGTTTTGGTACAACAAACTATGATCATAAGGAATCTGTACCTATTTGAAAACGTGGCTAGTTAACCAAGCTCTTAACTGCAGTGGTGAGAACATATGGAAACAATGTTCTGCTATATCTACCTACGGACAACCTAAGTGGATGTTTTCTAAAGCTAACTAGAGTATAAGCAAACTCAGCTGTTAAACTGTATGAAAGGTTTCAAAGAATAACTAAAAACAACCAGTTTTGAAAGTATACTTGGTTTGTAAATGTAGGCCAAAACCCTCTAATTTTTACCAGTACTGGATTTTCTTTTAGATGTTTGCTTTATGTAAACTGCCTCAAGACCAGTAGTGAGAGTGTTCTGGCAAGAATCATAGTAATGACCTAGGTCCTAATGAACAGGAGAGGGGAAATGAGTGTATTTTTTCACTTCCCCCAGCCAGTAGTGTTTTGTTTTTTTTCCTTCTTTGTAAGTATAAATTGTAGGTATCTTTCACAGGACATTATGCTTCTGAACAATGACCTCTTAAGTCAGTTTGTGTGAGGGTTTTGTAGAAGTCAGCTGGCTCGTGCAACAGTTCCCTCTGGAAATAAAAGATCCCTTCAATTTCAT